CACCCTAACCGTCCCCACTGCTCTTCCCAAGACCTCCTGCTTTAAGGCTCCCTCGTCATCTCCTCCCATGCTCGCCTCCGGGACTTCTCTAGAGTCTCTCCCATCCTCTGGAACTCTCTACCCCGACCTGTCCGTCTATCTCCCACTCTGACTGCCTTTAGGCGATCCCTTAAGACTCATCTCTTCAGGGGAGCCGATCCCACCTCAACCTAACCGCTCAACCATTCATCCCCACACAGCTCCCTCCTCATGTATCACTGGCCCCTCCCCTTTTAGATTGTAATCCCTCAGGGGCGGGGCCCTCCTTACCATCTTGTCTTGAATTGTATTGTAATTGTAATGTCTTCCTTATATTGTACAGCGCTGCGCACACTGTTGGCGCCATATAAATCCCGAATGATGATAATAATAATCAGCGATGGCTGGATGCAATGCGTTTACATGTCACCATCGTTTTCCTGATCGGCATGTCACCTCTATTTCTCTTCTTTTCCAGTCCCTGGAAGTGCGATTGCAGTGCGAGATCGAAGAAATCATGACCCCTGACCCTGACAGCGTCCTTCCTTTCTCGGAACCCTCCCCCCAGCCTCTGTCCATGAAGAGCAGGATGCTGGCTGGCAGTGCCAACGCCGTGACCAACGAGGGGCCCCTGAAGGACAGCGTACCGTGTCTGAGGTGAGGGTCTCTCTTGCCTTCTTGTCCGTGTCGCACCCGTTTCAGAAATTGAACGGACCGCTGTGATTCCAAATGTATGCGCGCAAACTGCGGCAGCCGAACGCACTCTCATTAACCCATTGCTGCCCAGGTGTGAACAAGGAAAAATGACAATCTCTGCACCCGGTGAAAAGGTTTTTGTTTTCAACCACCTCCCGTCCATGGCCGGACAGGAGCCTTATAGGAGCGAGTTTACATTCAAGCGATTGGCCGATCGCTTGTACTAGCTGCGGTTGTGCCCCCCCCTCGTACCGTACCATTGTCCTCGTCGCTGTCGGTCCCGGGACCCACTGTGCCCAGTGCGGCTGGGACCGGCACGGCGACGATGTCAGTGGAGATCAAAAGGGAGATCAGTACACGATCTCCCTTTGATCTCTTCTCCGGTCCCCCAATGCAGGAAGTGATGTGTATTACATCACTTCCTGCATTCAGCTGTCACTCTCCGGTACACAACACCGGTGAGAAGTATGTCTGCTTCATCAGCTTCTCTGGGGGTCCCCTGGTGACATTAGGGGTCTTAGAGACCCCCGATGTCTCCATAAAGAGGACCTGTCATGTGAATTGGCTATCACATAGAGGGTTTCTTATCCCCCATGTGATAGCAATAAAGTTAAAGGAGAACTATGAGGGGGGGGACTGCGGCGTCTCAGTATACCGCGAGCTGTAGCTCCCTATATACTGAGCTTAGGGTGACGGGAGGACGCCCCCCCCAAGGAGAACTATGGGGAAAAGCCCCGACCCCGTAGTTCTCCTTGAACTCATTTGTTTAAGGATTTGCAGAAACAAAACATCATTAATGACCGGAGACTTTCATCCCGGGTTATTGTGGAGCGCCGTTATTAGCCGGACCGCCACTCTTTAATACCTCGCTGTAGAATGCGGAGACTGACTGTCTCTCCACATTGCACAACAAGACGTCCCCAAGGAGACTGAAAACAACAATTTGTTCCAATAACATTTATCTGCAAAGTCATTCCAGCAAGAGGACCTGTTCATGATCAGAATCGCATGCAAACTGCAGCAGCGAGCTGCACGGTCACTAACCTGTTACTGCCTAGGCGTGCGAGGGAACTGCCTGGGTTCAGTGTGGCGTAGGGCAGCGGTCGCCAACCAGCGGTCTGTGGCCCACTGGGTGGTCCGCGAGAAAATGTTGGTGGTCCCGGGCCCCTCTGATGCCGTGCGGGCTGGGCCGTCATTGAAGCGGCACGGAGGCTCCGGGACTGACTCGAGCAGCGGCTGTCGCAAGGAATGCGCGGCTCTCAGTACGGCGCGGGCTCTGCAGGAGGCGGGGCATCTCGTCAGGACCCGGACTGAGCGGGCTGCGGGACATAGAAAAAGTGGGGAGAAGCCAAGTAATAGTGGCTCAGTGTGGGGGAAGGGGAGGCACGGGGGTGGTTTGGGCAGTGCTGAAGCTGGGGGGCGGCTTGTGTCCCGGGTGCCGCCGGCAGGGCCAGTGGTGGATTTTGGGTATCAGACGGTTGCAACAGCTACCCCGAAAGTAAGACCTAGCGGATCTCTGTAATATAAGACCTACCACCGAACTAGGTCTTATTTTCGGGGTAGGTCTTATATTACAGAAACCCCTGAAGATAGCACTAGGTCTTACTTTCGGGGAAACACGGTATTACTGGGCCGGGGGCCCGCCCTCCACCATCACTGCCACTCCTGCAGGCACACCCGCACCTATGTATGTATATATAGATATTTTCTCATATTTATTGTTTCCTCATATATAAATATATTCTCGTGTGTGCTACAGGAACATGTTAAAAGGAAAACATAATGCCGGGACATGTTCGAGAGGTGAAATGGGTCATGCCTGGACATACCATTTAATAACTGCGGCATGGTCGTCTTTTCTTTGTGCTGAAAATGTCAAAGGAAGGGGCGCTGATGATGCCAATAATGAAGTCCCCTGCAGCCCTCCCCCACGTCTTGAATGTCCATGCCCCTTTTGGTGAACCTATGTATACCACCATATTGTTAACTCCTGAAAAAGGAGACTGTTGGTCTACCGAGCTTTGCTCATCAAGTCTTTCCAGTGGCGTCATGGGGGGGGGGGTTTGCCACCATTGGAGGGGTGACACCAAAATGACTGACAATCATTTTAGTGTCACCCCCTATGGAAGGTCGGGCACTCGGTCACAGACCGAGAGCCTGACAGTGTCAGGAGAGAGGAGGGGACCCGTTGGCATACCTCATCCCGCCGGGTGAACACCCCCCTCTGCCGGCATGGCCTGCCGGAAGGCGTCAATAAGATGACGTCACGGCAAGGTGTCACCCTGCCTCGGGGCGCCCCTGAGTCTTTCCCACCACATTTTTCTTCTTTGTCTTGGAGAGGATTCATTCAGAGATATATGAAGGTGATATCAGGGTAACCGTGAGCGGGTCTTCACACCGCATGCAGGCACCCACACGGGAGGACCAAACGCATGACCACACCAGACACTGCCAATGATACGGTTTATTATGCACACCAAAATATAACACAAATAACCCCACCAACACCCACAAGTAACCACAAACAAGTAATAGCGGCTAACTACATCTAAACACATGCAAAAAGTAACAGGCAAGTGACACCAGGGGAGCTAAGGAACAAAAGGTCAAGGCACAAGGAGGTCACAGGACTCAGGACTAGTGATGGGCTCGGGCGTGTTCGCAGCTCCACGTGCCGAGCCCGCCAGGAAGCTGACAGCGGCGCAGCTCCAATCACAGGCACTGAGACCTTATCCCGGTCCGCAGCTGCGGAGATCGGGAAATGTCTCCATGCCTGTGATTGGCGCTGTCAGCTTCCTGGCGGGCTCGGCCCGTGGAGCTGCGAACACGCCCGAGCCCATCACTACTCAGGACTCCAATCCAGTCTGCAGGGAGGGATTAAATACCCTCCCAGGTAGTGAGTAATCGCTGACAGCTGGGAGACACCCGCAGGTGGACTCACAGGTTCCAGCACCACCCAGTGGTGGTCTGGTACCTGACAGCTCCTGGCAGGCCTGGAGACACCCGCAGGTGAGCACCGGAATTGCAGGTTCTAGCACCACCCAGTGGTGGTCTGGTACCTGACAGCTCCTGGCAGGCCTGGAGACACCCGCAGGTGAGCACCGGAATTGCAGGTTCTAGCACCACCCAATGGTGGTCTGGTACCTGGCAGCTCCTGGCCGGCTTGGTGACAGCTGCAGGTGAGCGCAGGAACTGCAGGACCTGGGTCCAGCGCCACCTGGAGGTGCTCTGGTCCCCGACAGGTGATCTGAATGTGATATAATAAATAACCTGGTCGGTTTGAGCCAAGAGGCATTCCATTAGGTGAACCCGAGTAACTCAATAAGGAAAAGTCCAACTGGAACATGTTCGTAATACATTTTAGTTTCGGCTCCAATTGTTGCTGCCGACACGGCAAGCCATTCGCACCTACAATTCCAATGTGTTATTCTGCGTCCCCGGACTCCAGGCCATTCGCTTTCACACCTGGCCAGTAACGTTAAAGTTAAGGACGGCGAGGTTTTGCCGCCGTTGATTGCGCGCGTTGATGCGGAATCGCCGCGGCCCCCCGGTTTCTGTAAGGCCTGGAGATCTCCTTTGCTCGTATCACAGTGATTACCCGAGCGCGCGTGCACACGCTGTACCGCCATGCAGCAGCAGAGTAGCCTAATAACCACATCACACTGGCAGCGAGCAAAGCCTTGAAAGCTGTAATTTAATAGTAATTACAGTATTATTTGCAGCGCTCTGCTTACAAAAGACTTGGCGGGTTCATAATTAACTGCGTTTCAGCGTTCCGCAATTTGTTGAAACAACAACTCATTTTGTCTAATTCTAGGTTAGCGAGCGGATTTTTTTGTGTTTCGCCTTTTCCTGCAGAGGTCTGCCCGCTCTCTGACTATTCGAGGGAAAACATAGCGGAGTTAATGATGCTCTCCTGCTGAGGAAAGGGCACAAGCTCTTTTCTGATGGATCAGGCCTGCCGGACGTATTTACGGTCGCATCGCACTCCCGGGGCGGCTACGGACACGGAAGGAACAAAATAAAAGTGGTGTGATTCCGGCAGATTGACGCCGCCCCTTCCCATGATCCGTATGATAAATAGTTCATTCGGAAAAGTCTAACTAATTTATATTGCCGCACGTGGGGGGCTTTCTGATTCGCCAGAATACACCGCGATTAAACTGTTCTTTGAATGAGGCAAGGGAAGCCAATGGCGCGTTTTTAAGGCTAAAGTTTAATTTGCTTATAATTTGCCTTCCCTGGTTCCTTCCATCCCCCCCCCCCTCATCAACATGATAATGACACTCTGACATAAAATCCTTCCATCCCCCACCCCCTTCTGCCAATCCCTGCACTGGCTTCCCCCCTCTGCCCATCCCTACACTGGCTTCCATCCCCTGGCCCCCCTCTGCCAATCCCTCCACTGGCTTCCATCCCTCGCCCCCCTCTGCCGATCCCTCCACTGGCTTCCATCCCTCGCCCCCCTCTGCCGATCCCTCCACTGGCTTCCATCCCTCGCCCCCCTCTGCCGATCCCTCCACTGGCTTCCATCCCTCGCCCCCCTCTGCCGATCCCTCCACTGGCTTCCATCCCTCGCCCCCCTCTGCCGATCCCTCCACTGGCTTCCATCCCTCGCCCCCCTCTGCCGATCCCTCCACTGGCTTCCATCCCTCGCCCCCCTCTGCCGATCCCTCCACTGGCTTCCATCCCTCGCCCCCCTCTGCCGATCCCTCCACTGGCTTCCATCCCTCGCCCCCCTCTGCCGATCCCTCCACTGGCTTCCATCCCTCGCCCCCCTCTGCCGATCCCTCCACTGGCTTCCATCCCTCGCCCCCCTCTGCCGATCCCTCCACTGGCTTCCATCCCTCGCCCCCCTCTGCCGATCCCTCCACTGGCTTCCATCCCTCGCCCCCCTCTGCCGATCCCTCCACTGGCTTCCATCCCTCGCCCCCCTCTGCCGATCCCTCCACTGGCTTCCATCCCTCGCCCCCCTCTGCCGATCCCTCCACTGGCTTCCAATAGCCCAAAGGTTAAAATTCAAAATACTAACAGCCACTTACAAAGCCATCCACAACTCCGCCCCCGTCTATATCTCCAACCTTGTCTCAAAGTATCACCCTAACCGTCTGTAACGAGCCCCTTTGCTCGCTCGGTTCCACTCTCCCGGCACTCCTCAGATGTCAGACCGCAGCGTCTGATATTTTTCGGCCGTCCAATGCTCCGGGATTGGAACTCCAGCTCTGCGCCGTGCGTATCCAGTGGCGATCGCTCAGAACAAACACCGGGCCGGCTGTATGGAAGTTCCAACAGGAATCTCCTTTATTGAATGCACACACAACACACTTTTATACACAACAGTTTGAACGCCCCAAACCACCACCTTCCTATTGGTCAATTGTAAAGTCCCCTCTAGTCCTCACTTAGGTCCTCTTGGCCATGCAAATGAGGACTTGACAATGAGACGGTGCTGAAGCTGGACACGGCCAGGCAATGAGTATTGTCAGAGGTGATGGAGGCCCCCCATTGGTCCTTCTTTTAGGTTCATCTCTTTGTAACGAGGCCCCTTTGCTCGCTCGGTTCCACTCTCCCGGCACTCCTCAGATGTCAGACCGCAGCGCCTGATATTACGGCCGTCCGAAGCTCCGGGATTGGAACTCCAGCTCTGCGCCGTGCGTATCCAGTGGCGATCGCTCAGAACAAACACCGGGCCGGCTGTATGGAAGTTCCAACAGGAATCTCCTTTATTGAATGCACACACAACACACTTTTATACACAACAGTTTGAACGCCCCAAACCACCACCTTCCTATTGGTCAATTGTAAAGTCCCCTCTAGTCCTCACTTAGGTCCTCTTGGCCATGCAAATGAGGACTTGAAACAGGGTCAGCAGGGATTGGTCCGATAGCTTGAATGGGAGGGGCTGATATGTGCACCATTGTCATTGGATTTTCCAGAGCCGGTATTGAATTTTGAAATTGGACAGCCGTAGGGCCAGGCTCCCCCGCAACGCCGTCCATGGGCCCCGGACACCCAGTTCAACCCACAAGGGGGGGGGGTCTCTATAACCCAGTGATGTCATCACTGGGTCTCTGTGGGGATCATGCTGGTGGGAGGGGCCAGCAGGGTTCTGTACAGAGCTGTCAGTATAATGAGGCAGCCTGAGGCTCTTGCCTTAGGCGGCATCACTTTGGATCTGTCACGTACCTGGTGAGAGCCTGAGATGACGAGGGAGGCCTCCCTTGCTTCACTTGTCCAAACACCCCCGGTAATGGGACGGAAGAGGGGGCGCGAGTGCCTGATGGAAGCGGATACACCCGGAGCCGGAGATGCAGGTGGACCAGTCTGGAGGACGTTGATGGCAGTCACTTCCTGCAATATGACGTCAGCAATGGGTGAAGCTGGCACCGGTGCAGAGCAAGAGCCGAAGTAAGGAACAAGCCTGGGGTCACGATCAAGCGGGCAGCGAGGTACAAAATCAGCAAACAGAGGCGCGGTCAGGAGCAGGCCGGGTCGGTGACGTGCAGGCAAGGCAGTGGGGAATCAGCAAACGGAAGGAAGGTCCAGATCAGGCCGAGGTCAGGTGCAGGCAGCAATCAGCAGAGTTCAAGAACAAGCCGGGTCAGGAACAGAGACACAGGAAGCAGAGCGCTACCTGAAGAACTCTCAGCAAGGAACAAAGCTCCTCCTTAAATAGGCCATCTAGCGCCATTGTTCAAGCTTGTGCACGTGCAGCATAGTGTGCGCGCATTTGCACGCACGCTCACAAGTACGAGCAATTTTTTCCACTAGAGCGTCTTGTATGTGTGCGCACATGCGCATGAAAATGTGCAGCACGAATACGAGCCACACTTCTCTGACCGGGTCACGTGGTGGGGTGGCAGGCCATGCCGCTCTGATGCACCGTGCATGCCACCCTCTTTCCCGCCAGAGCATCCCCAGGTTGCTAAGAGCCAGAGATGTGTAAGGGCCGCTCTCCTCTCCCCGCCCAGCTCTTAGCAACCTGGGAGGCTCTGGCCAGCATCCCGCTGCTCCTGGCAACCAGTGACGTCAGTGAGCACATCGACGACGGGTCCCCCCCCCCGTCATCTGCATGTTTTTTAGTGACGAAAATGAAGTAATAGAGAAGTAATAGAGAAGTAAATGGAACGAAAACAAAACGAAAATTCTGGGAGTGACTGTTGCATTTGGACTTCCGGCCCCCCGAGCTCTTCCTGTAGTAGGGAGCCGCGCACAACCGAATAATAACCTTACTGGCCTACCCAGAGGGACACCGGCTAGTAAACACTTGCGGCACAAAACTGTACGGACATGTCAACATCGGGGAGAAAGAGACGAGCAGACGCATGGATGCATTTTACATTTTACTAATGAGAACAAGACCTTTTGTAAGCCATGCGCAGCGACAATCGTAAGTCCTAACAGGTCATTAGAGGCGCACTCCAGGAGCATAGAATGAGTTTGGAAATTCTAGAGCAGTGGTTCTCGACCTTTCTAGGGCCGGGGACCCCTTGGTAACATTTGGCAAGTTGTGGTGACCCCCCAACGGTAAAATGTAGGGATGACGCGGCTGCTGCAGCGACATCTGGCGGCGTGGTTGCGGGAGGACTGACACTGCGGCGCTAGGAGAGGGCTGAGGAGGACTCTCACCTTGCACAGCAGAAATCACACAGCGACCCCGCTCAGCTAAGAGAGATGAAGGCAGGTTTTCCTTTGACATGTTTCGTTCAATGACTTTCTCATCATTGAACGAAGGAGAGACCCACGCCGGTACTTGACAAGGAGACATTAGAAGGGGTTGGAAAACCAGAACTTTAAAAGACCTCTTTAACAAGGAGCCCCTCTTGGGGAATTGTCATTGAATGTTTGGAGGACTGCCGGACAGATTGATCAAGTGTCACTGAGAGAAGGAAGTTGCCCTTTCTTAAAGTGCTGTTCGTTGGTTATGCATGTAATGATACATGCCCCTTGAAATGTCAGTTTCTTTGCTGTTATTATTTTAGAGTTTTGATTTATTTGCACGTTTTTTTTTTTTTTGTTTTTTTTTGAGTATTGGAGGGCCACCACAGAGCCCCTCCTTCCTTTTCAAAGTTTGTTCACAGCTTGAATTAATATCACGATTTAAATTTTAGTTTTCTGTGTTGTTTTACTACACCGCTGGCCAGAGGTTCACGTGTTTAAAATATACATGCCGAACCAATGAGGTTGATCACTGGCACTAATTCTGAAGGTTCCAGTGTTGATTTTTATTATTCTTATTATGTTTGTGTGTTGAACCTTCTAGTCATATGTAAATAATCCACTTGCATCAATTTTTTCACACGGATTGTTGTAATTTTACACAGATTTGTTTATTAACACTTTAGTGTGCAGTTGGTACACATAGACCGAGCGCAACATATTTGCTTTACATTTGTTCACCTATACACATTGTTTGCGGCTGGTCCAATCAGGTAGTTAGGCACGCATTCCCAGCGCAGTGATTTCTGTGATATACATTCAGATGACTGAAATACGACTAAAACTAAGACTACATTGACATTTGCTGTTAAAATTGACACTGGAGGTTACCGTAGTATATTCACACATGTAGATCCACAACCCCGGGTGACTGCTGTGGCGCCTAAAGACCTTGTGGCTATTATGTAAATGTGACATAACATGAGTGGTGATCGTTTCCTCCTTTTATTTCTCTTCCGCAGTGTGAAAAGCCGGCCCGTGAGGATGCCCCCGGGGTACCAGGCGGATCTGGTAGTCCAGATTGTGTGGGTGGATGGAGAGCCTCCGCAACAGATCACCAGTCTGGCTGTGAGCTCCGCCTATGGCCTGTGAGTACCGACAGGGAGGACGGGTCCTTATTTACCCCCTTCCCCCAACCTCCCATTATTACTGTTGTAATATAAACTATAAAATGATTGTGTGTGTGTGTCTGTGTATGTGTGTGTGTGTGTGTCTGTGTGTATCTGTGTGTGTGTGTGTCTGTGTATATCTGTGTGTGTGTCTCTGTGTGTGTCTGTGTATCTGTCTGTGTGTGTCTCTGTGTATGCGTGTCTGTGTGTGTGTCTCTGTGTATGTGTGTGTGTCTGTGTGTGTGTCTGTGTGTATCTGTCTGTGTGTGTATCTGTGTGTGTGTATCTGTGTGTGTGTATCTGTGTGTGTGTCTGTGTGTATCTGTGTGTGTGTCTGTATGTCTGTGTGTATCTGTGTGTCTGTCTGTCTGTCTGTGTATATGTGTGTCTGTGTGTGTGTCTGTGTATATCTGTGTGTGTCTGTGTATATCTGTGTGTGTCTGTGTATCTGTCTGTGTGTGTCTCTGTGTATGCGTGTCTGTGTGTGTGTATCTGTGTGTGTGTCTCTGTGTATGCGTGTCTGTGTGTGTGTGTCTCTGTGTATGCGTGTCTGTGTGTGTGTATCTGTGTGTGTGTCTCTGTGTATGTGTGCTTGTATCTGTGTGTGTGTGTTTGTCTATGTGTGTGTGTATCTGTGTGTGTGTCTGTGTGTATCTGTGTGTCTGTGTATATGTGTGTCTGTGTGTGTGTCTATGTGTGTGTATGTGTCTGTGTGTGTATGTGTCTGTGTGTGTGTCTCTGTGTGAGTGTGTCTGTGTGAGTGTGTGTGTGTCTGTGTGTGTGTGTATGTGTCTGTGTGTATGTGTCTGTGTGTGTGTGTGTGTGAGTGTGTGTCTGTGTGTCTCTGTGTGTGAGTGTGTGTCTGTGTGTGTGTGTGTGTGTGTCTGTGTGTGTGTGTGTATTGCCCTTTCGGCTGCTCTCTATGACTCCGTGACTTGCGCTTCTTTCAGACTCTCCTTCGGGAACTGTAACGGATTGGCTGTTGTAGATTACATTCAGAAAGCCATCTTGCTCAGCATGGGGACGGTGGATCTCTACGGCACAAATGACCCGTACCAGCGCCAGCCGCGCTCTCCGCGCAAGAGTAAGCAGTTCAATGCAGGTAGGTGAAAGGACAAGTGCCACTCTCCGTCGGTCTAGCATGAGACTGCATGAGGATCGCGTGCCGCTCACCAATCGGTCTCCAGCTGTCCGGGGACTTTGCGTTCACTTTGTGAAGGATTGTTTTAGGTATTGTATCATGTAATGCAGAGCATATACTAAGCCACTCCCATATACTAAGCCACTCCCATATACTAAGCCACTCCCATATACTAAGCCACTCCCATTCAGTGTTCCCGGTGTCGGCTCTTGTCACACGGGACCATTGCAATGGCGGATTATTCATCTCATTGCCGATTTCCACTTCAGACTCTGTAAAGATCCGGCCACGCGCCATACATACTTATTTCTCTTTAATTTACCAGCAACCATGTGGTAAGGGGACCTTTAATAGACGTTGAACGGATAGTTGTTAAACCAAAAGGATATTGTACCATTCACCTGACAGCTTTACTGTCATCAGCTCACAAGGAAGGAACCTTAAAGGAGAACTATGAGGGGGGAGGGGCCTTTCACTCACCTCATAGTTCTATCCGACCTGTGACAATGAGACTGTCACAGGTCGGCTCAGTATATCGGGAGGTGAGAGAACACATACCTGCGTTCTCTCACCTCTCCATCCTGTCACGGCTCTCTGCCGTGAC